GAGGATGACGGCTCACAGTTACAGTGTCTACACTGCTGTCTATGCCATTGCACGTGCTTTGCATGCCTTGCACTCTTCTATGGACAATCAAGGATCAGTTAGAAATAGAAGGAGACAGAAGCTTCATCAACAGTCATGGAAGGTAAAGCTCAGAGCAGACTAGCGTAAATTATCATACTTGAGATATGTTGCTTATAGTATTTTCTTAGAACATGATGAGATCTGAGCACTTTCTGATGTGACGGTGGGAAGTTACTAAACAAATGCACTAACCATATGGTCAAGATAAAGTCTTCTTCAATCTGAAACTCGTTCTTGGTGCCTTTTACTTATGTCCATGTAAATTTCCTGGTCATAGTATGATCAGTTATGAATGTATGAAGACAGAAACTTAATCAACAGTCTTGGAAAGTAAAGCTCAGAGTAGACTAGTGCAAGACCACTGACCATATGTGGTCTCTGCTATATTTTCTTAGTCATAACTCAGTTAGATCAGAGTAGTTTGTGTGCTGTGATGGAGGATTGCTGCTGACTGTTTGCTCCAAACTTAAGGTCAAGAGTGAGATGACCCCCAACTCCCCACTCTTAACTGATAACCTGCAATATCCTGCTGATCGTCTATCCAGTACTATCTAGACCCAACTTGTGTGTGTGTGTGAGACATTTATACTATATTATGCTCTATCTGTGAAGTTAGGCAAGTTTAGTTATGCTTCTAAAAATTAGGTATTATACTGTAATGATCTATGGGAGGAGGAGAAAGGAGGAGGAAGAGCTGCAGCTAGGACAATGGTCAGATAAGAGACATCTCAGCCTACTGGAGGAATGGAGCCATGGAAAAATCTCAGAAGGGACCCTCTCTAGTTCCTTAGAAAGTAAAGGCAGGTGGGAGAGATGTGCTATCATACCTGCAAGATTCTGTTACTGTAACCTTACAATAAAGGCAGTGTTAGTACTCATAGATTTTGTTTCTTGTTTGAACTACCTTGAAAGGCTGACATATACTTTGAAATGTAAATTCTACTTCGATTGTACAGTAACTTCCACCCGGAGAAAGATATCCATTCTCTCTCTCTCTCAGCTTCCCCATCTAGCTTTTAGCTCTTGTATCCCCTTTTGGCTCCCATCAAAATATTAAGAAGAATGGACCCAATGAGCCACTTGCTGAAGCAAAATATTAGATGAGATGAAAATAAATTCCTACAGACTTCCAAACCAAATGCTTCTTTCCTAAGTAATGTGAAGGGAATTTCACTGATCATTAAACAATTTGGGTACCTCAAAGTAAACCTCAAGTATAATTTGAATCAATCCAATTGACATTTGTAAGTTTTCAGTCACGAAGTTTCCCTTATGAGGCATTCAATCAGTCACATCTTTTTAAAAGCCGGTGGCTTGATTTCTGAACATCAGTGTTTTGGGGTCAATCAATCAAACAATGTGTGTGAGAAAATCCAATATGAAATTTAATGTTTAAATCCATAAAACATTCTTAAAATAAGCCAGCCTATTCCTAAGAGACCTCGTGTCTTCATTTCTTATATTTCCTTTTCCTTGAAGTAAGTTAATAGGTCATTCTAT